TGGACTCTTAGGTCCCTGCAACACAACCATGCTATGATGCTATGACACCTTCTCATGCATCTCTCAAACATTTTCAGGTTCACTCAAATAATTCCTACCATTAGGAATTAGAGAACCTCTTGGAGAAACACCAGCAACAATTTATGAACAAACCCAGACCAACTCAAGCAAAAACAAACAAACCACTTTGAAACAATATCTTAAAGAAGATTCCTTGCTGTTTTGTAGAGGTAGACAGTCTCAACCCCAGGTGTTTGTCATTACAAGAACAGCTTGAAAAAAAATAAGTAAAACTTTGTACAACCCAGAGCAACGGGACACTCATTCCCACATCCCCCAAAATCAGAACCTGATCAAATGAAAGCAATATTTAAGAAAGCATATTTCATTATGAAGCCTCGAGAAAGTGTTTGAAGTCACCAAGACAAAAGAAAACCAACAACAATTCCCAAATAAAAGCTGAAGCTGGTTGTGTGAGTCTGGCCCCTGCACTCAGCCTGATTACAACAGTGGTTTTGCTCCATAACAGAAATATTCCTGACATTCCAGGTGAGAATGAGCTTCTGAAAACTTACCCCAAATGTTAAAGTGTTTGAATATAAGACGTAATACTCCAGGCCACGTTTTCTTTTGATATATCAGCAAAGGCAAGGGAGACTCAGGTCATTAGAATCTCCCTCTTACTTATTCTCACAATTGTGATAATAAATTCATTATTTTCATAATTACTGCATTATAATTTAGTAATAGGTTCACATTAATTTCAAAAGTCTTACTACAAGGCATTATCCAAACAAAATAAGAAACAATTAGAATTAAATTAATCTAAAATCCTACTTACAAACCATTACACAAGCAAAATAAGTAATACATACCATGAAATTTATCTAAAATCCTATTAAAAATGATGACTTTGAGGCCAAAAGAAAAAAAATTACTAGACATACAAGAAAAAAAGAATTTTTCTGCTGTGCTTCTCCAGCAGAAGCAGCTAGTGAGCCACAGTGCCAGATCAGAGAGGCCAGGTAGATGGCAGGCAACGAATCCAGCACCATCCCCCCCCCCAAGGCCTCTTGCAGTCCTCCAAGGCTGGTCCTAGCCCACCCTTCTCATTCAGCCTGTCTCTGCCCCCTAAATACTCTCCTCAGGGTGTTATCACACCAGTCACTCACTGTCATCTCTGCAGCCAGAACTCCCGATGCCTTCAAGCCTTGGGGTGAAGAAATGCCTTCTCTCTAACTGCAAAAGAGCCCCCATGCCTTCTCTCTTCTCCCTGTGAGCCCCACACACACCTGCATTCTCCCCCTGTGATCACAAGCACCACCTGTGCTTCACCCCTTCCCTTCCCCCCCAGTGCCCCCACTCTGCTGAGCTAACCCAACTCCTCAGCCCGTAATCACAAGCACCTGGGTGGGTTCAACATGGCTACCCATTATATAACAGTATTTCAATGAAAAAAAGCCTTTAAACAACCAGCACGTGTCTGCTTTGGTGAGTATTCGCGCACTTGCAGAAAGCACAGCAGGTCTAAGGTTGTTATTTGTTCCCTCAGGCTTCTGAGATCTTTGTGGCACAATCTACTACCCTAAATCATAAAGTGCTTTATTGTTTGCTGCCTGGGGAAGTGCAGCAATTGGACAACTCAATACAGCGGGAAAGGTATTACAACAAAGGTGTGATGACAGAAGTACCAGTGCGATAGAAAGGTGCTATAAAAGAAGGGAAGAAGATTGCTCACCTGTATCAGAAGATTCCAGGTTCACAAAGAAAAGCTTCTCCAAGGAGAGATCTCCAGAAAGAGATCTTTCTCCAATAGCCGTCAGCCCTTCAATGAGGTCTAAGAGAGGTGCAGCCAGGCTCCACCCCTTCTGGTGGCACTAAATTGCCTTCACCTGTGCTCCCAGGGCTGATCAGGTCCTTTCCCAGCTGCTCAATCAGTGGATCAGGCCGTGACTCAGCATTCCCATACAGGGAGCACGTGGCTACATCCTGCCTTGGACTGTTATTTTGAATTTCCCTCCACGAAGCCACAGCAGTTTGCAAGTTAAAACCCTCTGCATCTTTCATGTTAAGCATGTGACAAATTGTTCTTGCTGGAGAGATGCATTTTGTCTGCAGCAATGAACTCGTGTTAAGGCAAAAAAGCTGTGCAAGTAATACAATGGTAACCCTAATGCACTTCCACAGTACATCTCAATATCTAGGTCACATACAGCAGTAGGATGAACATTACAGATCAGATTAGCATCTGTTATGCCCCACACAGGGCACAAGGTCCTAACAGCACCCTGTTACACGAGGAACTTGATCAGTGTCCCATTTTACATACGAGAACATGTCCACATTCAGAAATGCATTAGAGCAAACACTTAACTCCACCCTTGTCAGTTAACTCTTCTGCATTTCTGGAACAAGTCATTAACTTCATTTCATCTGTTCAGTTCCAAAATCTTCAAATTCAGCTGCAAAAATGGAACCCCTTTGATCTCAGATTGCCGCTAATTCATAATTGATAACCCAGACTGGAAGGAAGGGGAAAACTTCATCCCCATTAGTCGTTCCATTTAATATGTTCTGGTGCTTCAATTATGCAAAACTCAACTCTCAGGGTCTGACTGCCTTCCAGAATGTGAGTCAATGGGGGAAAGAGGAAAACCTAGATTGAATTATTCCAGCTGTAAATCTTTGTAATAGCATAGATGTCACGAGAGTGATATCCAACACTGAACAATTCTGTTTATTTTCTGAGCTGTTGCTCCATAGAATTCCCCAGGCATCCATTAATGACTTTAGAGAGTTCAACAGAGAAGGACTCACTCTCTCCCTCTTACATTCTTTGGTCAGGTCATTATGCTGCTTGCTGTAATGACCCTTTTTGGCTCAAGGCACTAAAAGCCTCGGAATAATATATGCCCTGGTAAGCGAGTAAGTGAGAAAGAATAATTAACACAAGTCATTTTGTCCTTTACTTTGGAGAAGGCAACTGTCAATTCTTTTTGAAGATGTTTAAATTATGAATGTTAAGAATATGAGTGCAATGAAGAAAACAGTAATGTGCAGACATCACTCGGGCAAAACACATTTCTCTATGGGGAGATGAACAAAAGCAAGACTGCGCAGCAGGGAACTCAGTTAAAATGGCACAGATGCATACACCATCTTACACAAATATCCAGCAATGAAAAATATATATGTGGCTATACCTAGCAGCTGGTTGTGTTTAAAGAAATGTTGTGTGACTTACAGTTCTCTTGGATAAAACTGTACAAACTCCCAGGAATCAGAGGGAAATAAGGAATGCAGTTGCATGGGTGCTGTTCAAATGAGGTGAACTTCTTCATAGCACAGCAGTCCCACTGAAATCAGCTGGATTACCCATTCAGGGTGTCTAGGTCTGATAGTTGTCCAGAAATCACCTACATCAGCACAAGACGAAAAAATGTAGCGTGATTTCCTTTTGGTTTGTGTGGAGTGACTGATGGAGATCACACTGTAGCAAAAGTCAAATTCCAGCTGAAAGTTTTCCTGGATAGGTCCATAAGACTCTTTTCTGGACATCACCACAACTTTTTCAGGGGCTTATAGGTTCTCTGCTCTCCTTATCACTGACTCTCAAGAAATTTCACTACCTTTCAGACTTGTCATCAACTGTCAAACTTGGTCAGCAGGTTCTGACAGCACCAGAGAGTCTGGCAGAAATCTGCAAGCAATGCAGGTGGGATAAGCTTCCCTTCTGTAGTAAACCATGCTGAACAAACAAAAGCAGTTTGCAACAGAACTTCACACCCTCTCTTTCCTTTTCTGTTTCTTTACAGCAAATTTCCCACAGTGACACAGTAAACTCAAAAGCTTACAGCAAATGGAGGGAACATCTTCACTTGCACTTTCTGCCAGAAAGCCATCACCTGAACATCCTCGCATTTTATGTAACATTTTTAAGGGACACACCATTAACCTTTAGCAGCACTGAATCTATCATGTTCTCCAGACCTCCCTTGCTCAGCTCTTCCTTCTCTGCAGAGATCCCTTCAGTACTTTCAAGTCACAGAGTAGACCATGTACTTGCCATTGCTTTTGCCCCCCCTGGCATTATCTATCCCTCCCAAACGTCCCTTTCTTTCTCAAGGGAAAGTTATGTCACAGCCTCCACCAGTTGATAAAAAACAGTCAGCCTGGTTCTCTGGGCAGCCCAAATCCTTCCTCAGACACCAGGTCAAGGGCCACCCTACGTGTTACACAGGTCCCACAGCCAGCAGGATTGGGGCTTTGATCCAGGGCCAGCTCTTTCCTCACCCTTTGCTTCTCCTCCTTTGCTGCATGTTGTTTCTGTTTTTCCACAGACACCTGCCAAAAGAAAAACAACTCTGCACCTCAAAGACATTTTAATAATTCATATTCAACTTCAGTTCCCACAACTTTAATAAACAAGTACTTATTAGAATACAATCATTTCCTCTTAGAATGGGCAGTTTTTAGGAATGAAATAACAATAATTGTCTCTAAGAATATGTATGAACAACAAACATTCAACCTTCCTGGTTTTGTTCTTTGGTTCATGTGCATCAAAGCCTTCCCTGCTGCTCCCCTCGCCTTTGTTTTAGCAAAGATTCTGCTTTTAATTGGGTTCAACCCAAAATCTGTATGTAAAAAAAGCTACACACAGCAACCAGCTCATCCTAGAATTCACGGAAAGTAACAGGAGGGACTGAAATTAGATTATTTCAAGAGCTCTCTTGGATTCATATGAGAACAGTTCTATTGCACTTGTAGAGGAGCCTATTTCTTTAGCCTTCTGTTGGGATGCTTTAAGACCCAATTCCTTGCCAAGTGGAAACAATGGAGAATACCAGTAGACTGTGCAAAACTAAAATAAACCCAGGCATTGTTAAGTGGCATCCACAATAAACACATCTACTAACTATCACACATCCTTAAGCCTTCAAAGTCTGTTGATCCCAAAAGCTTTGGGCCACTAAACAGAAGTCTCAGAGGCCAAGGTGTCTTATTCCAAGTTTTATTTCTTGTTGCTTACAACTTTCAGGTCCCAAACTAAATAAGCTGAAGTTTGGCTCTCTGCAGATGAAGGCCTCACATTTGCACTGTACCAAAAGACTCCTAGTGTCCAGAGTAATTCCTCTGTGCTACACAGTTTTCTTTTAAGTGTTAATCACTGATATTGCATGGAAAGGTCTGTGGTGAAAGGCCCTAAAGAAGCACAGTCACCATTTCTTCCTAGATTCCACTTTCCAAGCTTTTGATGTCGTTATTTTCTTCCCTAAAAGAGAACAGAAATTAATTGAGCATTAATAGGTCTCAGTTCTTTAGCAGATCCTTAGCTGGCATAAATTAACATGCCTCTGACTCATTCTCCCAATTCATACCTTCTTGCCAAGACAGGAGCGTATCTTCAATGGTAAAACAGTGTCAAGATTACTACAGTTAACCTTCTTGAAAGTGTTTGTTACTAAGAACTCAATTTCCTTTGATTTTGGTAGACCTTCTTCAAGGTCTAGAAGAGGAAATAGACTTATTTCAGTGGCACAGCGTGTCCGCTCCTGCCTGCGGCACATTGCTTCTTCCAACTCACTTTCCCTGGCACACCAGCATAAAACTGCACCAGGAAAATGCAGAAGGAAAAAAAGAAAAAGAAATCACCAACAAAAATAATGAGCTTGGATCTAACCTAGTTTGGGAATCCCTAGGATGCAGCAGAATCTGAACTGGCTACCCAGTTCCAGCTAAAAAAAAAAGAGCATTGGCTTCTTTTTAAGCTTTTTAATGTACAGATCAAACAAACAGACTTCCAAGCGCTTTCATTTAACTTTGATGCCAAACTTTGATGTCTTCACCATTTACAGTAATCATTTTTATGTGCACTTAATATTATTTTTTTTTAGTCCAAAATGTTACACATAAAAACACCAACTTCATTTGAAAGACACAGCGTTTTTACTATTCGAAAACTCTGCATTTTTAATTTGTTTCTTATCAGCAGACTACTTCTGGGGCAAAGAGAGAACATCAAGTTTTGAATGCCTTTTAGCTGATTTAAATTAATATTTTATGTTTGTATTCAAACAAGCTGGCTAGTAGAAGGGCTCTGACATTTTTTCCATACTTTTTCTGGCACATCTTAAATCAGAAGCAATGGTTATCTCTCAAATGTTTGGTGCTTTATTCCATGATGGGGACCCAGAAGATGACACTTCTACATAGTTTAATCCATTAGAATCATTGCTCCTTAGCCCTGTGCCAAGATGGGGAGGAGCAGCTCCCCAGTGTCTGAGGAATAAGACAACACATCGATCCTTCACTTCAAATGCAAATGCCTATTCTGTTCTTGAATGCCCTCTCCCTCAAAAAAACAATATAGGGTTACAATTCTCTAGCTCTGTATTTCCACCCAGCTCTTCCCAAGAACACAGAAAACCAGATATGAGTGAAGTTTTAATGAAAAGAGGTCTGAATGATTTCTATTGCATTTAATAACCACTACATCACTGTCAGTAGATGAAAGCACTGTATTGGATTCCACAGCTGACAACAGTGGTGAGTTAAAGGATAGCCTTCAATTAGCCTTCTTCCTTTTAAAACTGATGGGGAAGGAGTATATTTGAAGATCACAGACTGGGTCTACATTAAAGTCTAGAGAAGGAGGGAACTTAGAGAAGAAATGTAGGTACACACAGCCCATACTGTGGTGTTACTCCCACAATTCCATTTATGCCGTTATCCAACAGGATAGGATACAGGGGGAAAGTTTTCCTCTCTAGGGCAGATGAAGGAGGAGAGCACTGAGAAGCAATTATTAGTAAGATAATCAGTGGCCTGCTTTGCACAGTTGCCACAAAGTGTCAATGCCATGAGTGCTGGCCTGCCAAAGCCACAGCTGTGCCAAAGAACTACATACTGCTGGGGCTGCTGCTGCAGTTCACCCTGTTGGTGTATGATGCACCCTTGGATCAGCATCCCTATTCCCCTGCTATGCCAGGCAACACATTGGGAAAATGTGTTATCAGCCATCTGAAACCTAGAATTTTGGCCCCAAACATAACATCTCTAACCTACTTTCAAGAAGTGTCACTTTATGAAAGCATTTATTATGCACACCCCATTTTCCAACCAAGTTCAATGCAGCAGTCCTTGAAAAAGGAAGAATACTTTTGTTTCATGTGAAAGGAGACGAGCACAGAGAAGAACTAGCAAGAAACCCAAAAAGGGTTAAACAAGCATAAGCAGTCATTGCAAAAATTTCATCAAGAAGTCTCACTTATCAGAGAGAAATCATATTAAAGGATATGGTCTAGCAAGTAAAGACGTGCACTGCACAGTAACTTATTCATATGCTCCAAGTGTAAAGAAAGCTGCTAAGAGCACAGTCCTTAAGGACACTGCAGGCTCCCTGCAAGTTACCAATGCTCCCAGTTCCAGTGGTGTTCAGAGCACTCAGCACACTGCAGGATTTACCTCCAATGGCTATCTGATCCAAAAGCCAAACTGTTAAATGAGTGAAATCCCTGCATGCTAGATCAGGACCGGAAACGACTGCTTGCATTACTGACAGATTATCAAATTAATAAATCTACCATGTGATAGCTAAAATAAATACCCATTAAAAATACAAATCTCTCAAAATACAAGGAAAAGAAACGCATTCCCAGCACAGACTCTGAAAACAGACATCTTTAAAACAACAGACATTGCCAGAATGAGAACAGGTGGAAGAATGAATAGCAGTTGCTTTCCAAGCACCTATCCCCACAAAAGTAGTGAGCATAGCAAAAGAGACAGGTAATAAAAGGAAAATAAAAATTAAGAGCATCCTTGAAAAATCAACTGCTTGATGAGAACGAATGAGATTCTCTGCTTTGAAACGTGGCACACTAGGGACAAATGCAGATGTTTGTATCTATTTAGCCAATAGTTTACATGGTATTGCTATGATCTCCAATAGAAGTTTCTATATAGTTTTGTACGTAAGAGACATAACTGCACCACACTCCAGTTCCAGTTGTTTCACACGCAGTCTCTCAGTCAAAAAGGGCCATCTCCCTTCATCCACAGTTCTACACCATCTAACACCAATGGCCACAGGCAGGATAAAAGCTTAGCAAGTATTATTTTAAAAAGGTTACTGCAAACCAAGATCTTGGGATGCTTCCCCAGTGGACAGGGAAGAGAGAACATAGATAGATAGAGCATAGGTACAGGTCTACCATTACAAAAGAGTTCTGCTGCTGCTGTTATCTAAGCATTTTGAGATCACCTCTGGTGACTAAACCTTTCCAGCTCAAGGTTCAGTATTTGCAGTTTGTCTTTTTCTTGCAATAACTATGCTATAGGTTCAGTGTGCCTCTGCCATGGCACAGAGGGTCACAGGTTGCTACTGCTCATGCTCTGAGCCAACAGAATAAGAACCCACCCAGAAGGCCTTCAGACACAACACTGACCCGAGTCAAGCCCTGAGCCCGGTCCTGCTGCCTAACTGAAGGCTGCTTTCCCAGCTGTGCAGGCAGGTTCTTATTTAAAGACAGATGATCACTTAGATGCGCTGAACTAGAGACACACTGCAGGCCTGAAAGAAAAAAAATATAAAAGATATCTTTTAATAACAGGAACCATAAGGAAGAGCTGACAACTAAAGCCACGTAAGTTATGACAAAGCACGTTGACAAAAAACATTTACTTGCTGGAAGGAGGTCCCATCATCCATGCTGCACCACAGTGGAGTTCAGCTGCCTCCTCCTTTTCCTGAAAGCTTCTTTTCTGATTTGCAGCCCTGGAAGTGCTTTCCAGTACTCTTCAGTTCAGACAAGAGAGGGTAGCAGGATGAGACTCGTTATTAATAATACAATTAGCCATTTGGGGGGTTTCTGGGTTTGTGCCAACTCTACCTTCAGAATTTTAGGACACACTGCACAAGGGGAAACAGGACTTCTGTGCATGCTCTGAAGCTGTTCCATTACACCTGATTTATAGCATGACACTGCTTGTTCTAGCCCATAACCTTGAGCTTGTAAACCACACAAGGGAAAATTTACTAACTACTGAGTTCATCTTAATGCACTATTGGGAATTTTAAGCAGGGAAAACTAAGGCAAGGTGCTGGGGACATTTAGAAGAGCTAGTCCTGCACAGCAGTCTTTTAATGGCTCAGTGCAGCACACCTCATAGTCCACTCTGTTTTCTTTTAATTAAAGCTTTAATTTACATGGCCAGCATACAGTAAGGTCCTATGTTTGTCTTCCTCTGAAGATAATTGACAGGAGAGATGAAGACACATTTCATTGCCTCCGAGCTGCATACATTGATGGAGTTTAACCACAACAACGTGTATAAATGCTTTTATTCCACTCTTAGTTTGCCTAAGAGTTTGATTAATAACTGAAGCCAGAACACAGTTCTGCAGCTCTCCTGTTGAGAAAGAAAGAAAGATCATCACCCACACAGCAGAATCATTTCCCGGCAGTGAAGCAGTCTGCACTAGTGTATATAGAAAAGCAATGAGAGCTGGAACACAAGTGTCAAAGGTACCTGCGGCAATTTTGACAAGCAATCTCAAAAGGACCTAAGAGTTGTATGAGCACCAGGCTGAATGCGAGCCAACAACACTCTCTCACAGATACAACAACCTGCATATCTGGCTCTATAGGAAGCATGGCCAGCAGACAGAAGGGAGATATCCCCCTCCAGTTAGTGCTGGCAGAGGTGTACCTGGAACATCAAATTTGGTTTCAGGCTTCCCGGAGCAACAGAGAGGGGAAAAAACTAGAAAGCGTACAGCACCAGGCCTGGAGAACTGGATTTATGAAGAAAGGCTGAAGTTGGGCTTGTTCATCCTGCCAAAAAGAAGTTCCACAGGGTGATCTGACAGCAACATCTACAATGTGATAATCAACCATTTCTCCATAACACCACACCATGGAACAAAGGATTACATCAACAGAGTATGATTTGAGGCTGAGCGTTGCAAGAAGTTTGCACAGAGAGCAGCTCAGTATCAGTACAGGCACCCAGAGAAGCCTTTGCAGGTTTCAAATGATTATTAGTCACATTAGTGACCCAATGCAGTGTCAAAAATGTTCCCACTCCAAATTAATTTAAAATAAATACATCATAAGAAGATGTTGTTTAAGACTACAATTCATTATTTTTGGTAAAAGAAAAAAAATGAAGTGAATTTAGGTAACTTAACTCTGCCGTACAAAAGTCGATGGTTGTATAATTAAGCAATACACAGAAATACCACATGAGATAGTAAAGCAAATGCTCTGACCCATATTTTGTCTTTAGGTGCAAGAACACTCAGCTCTTCAAGCGTATTACATACTTTCAGATTCATTTCCTCAGTTAATAATCTGAGATGGATGCATAATTTGCCTGATGTAAAGTTACTCTCTCCTTGGCTTGTTCTGCTCAATGGCAGGCTGCCCTCTGTACTAGCACATAACTTCCTTGAAATGAGAGTTGATAGAGCAAATATAAAATTAGCTCTGCATTTGCTGTCTACTCCCAAGAGATATCTTGTTCCTTACTCCAGTCTAAGTACTCAAAAGTCAGTTCCTGACAACAGTTCCTGCAACTTTCCCCTCAAGTTATTTTCCCCAGGTAAGGCTCCAGCAAACAGTAACTCATGTGACTATTAGCACTGTTACAGTCTTGTATTTTGTTTAATTAGTAATTATTTTAAATTACATGGCTGAAGCGGAGCTGGGTAGCTGTCATTCAGCTATAAAGACTTGTTCTTTAAAAAGCTAGGAATAGGGGCATTTTCAAGAGAACTGCAGATCATAGTGAAGAATGTCACACTTTGTTCACATGGTTCATCGAAGACATTAGGAGTAACCTTACTCCTATTTAGAAAAGAACTGTTTGCAAATGACCTTCCAGCATCCCACCGGTGGGTTTTCATGGGGACTGACAGAAAGCAAAGAGTAATACCTACTGGGCATTTGCTCCTGTTGAACAAAGGACTTCCCAAGCATCTAGATGCTGAGGAGGCAGCACTCTTACCCAGCTCCCATATTTGTGCAAGCAGAGTTAATCAGAAGCTTTATGCTGTATGACCTTGGTCCAGTCAAGTTTATTCCAGGTACTGCAGCACAGCTGAAGCACTGGGCAGATCTGTGCCGTGTGCCATTCCAGCCACAACAGGCCATTGTTTAATCACACTTAGATTTATCTTCTGTGTTTTTCAGAAAGCTCATGAACACTACATCCAAAGGTAGGTTTAGGAAAGATTCATTAATAATCTCCTCAGTAATTGCCATAGAGTTCTAAAAAGGTAAAACAAACAAAAATTCATAGCACATCCAGCACATCAAATTGGCAAAAGTACTTTGACTTTCTCAGCGAGTACTTCAAAATGTTTATGAACAAGCCCAACAGCAGGTTTTCAAGCTTTCATCAATTAAATCTCACATTGCTGAGCACAGCTCACAGTTCTGCTCTCCTCAGATTTCCCTGAAGCCTTACTACACCTTCACGCATACTTGCTCCTGCTGCAGTTTCTGTAACATCAGCACACAGGTACACAAGTGGTGAGTTTACAGTGCCCCAGATGCTATTAATAAAATTAGCATCAAGTAGAGGCCTAGGTGCCTCTCCCATCCCGTCTGATGACAGCTCATTTAAGGCTGTTCTTTTATTGGAGGTCACAGGAATAAACAATCATCTTCTGCAAAAGACTTGTTGCAATTAACAGCGCTTTCCTTCTGAATCCATCTCACGAGCATAGATTTACTAATTAGTAAGAAAGCACAGCAGAATAAATGAGAAACAATTTTATATTTAGAACTTGACAGTATAAAGCTTTATCACTAGATTGTACTGAAATCAAGACCCAGGCAGGCTCCATAAATCACTTTAGACACTTCTACCCTCCTATAAGCAAAGGAGAAGAATCAAGTCAGTTCAAGCTCTGTATCTCACCAGACCTCCCAACGTACTGTTACAGCCAAGGATGTGGATCTTCCTTGGCCAATACCATAAGGATCCACTGTTATACATCGTTCAGAAGGAAAAAGCAGCTAAGATGGGGCCTGTAAAGCATGGCCAAAAAAGTCTTGCTATTTTTTGTTTTGAGAAAGATGACAGAAATGACAAGCAACAACCACTTCTGTGGTTGCATCTTGCCTTTTGACTGAAGGCCATTTTAGGAAGTGTCAGGGCCAGCAGCTGCATCATGAAGGTGGAAAAGACATCAGCCACGTTCTCACTTCTCTTCCAGTTTTCTGAGAAAATGAGAGCAATTATACAATCTTGTCTGGAGTCCAAAGGGATTTGAAGGGAAATCTACAGCTTTCTCCTGAAAGAGGTTATCTAGAAGTCAGGTTTTACATGCTTAAATCACGAGTGCTGTTAAGTATGGATTATCTTCCAATTCCTTAATCTTCTCCCAGATCACTGACAACCCTCCATGAGAACAAGTACTGCGTCTGCAAGCACACCATGCAAGAACAGAGGGCAAATAAGCACCATTAGTAGTAGGAGCCATGTAAGTATCTGTATGACTTCACAATCCCTTAACACTCCTGTACTGTAAATTGTTTCCTCAGGAGCCAAAAGAAACAGCTGTAGGCCACTTCCAATAGGACAGCTAAGAATTTGTTTTGTTTGTTGTAAGACAGCTAAGAATTTGTTTCCTTACAAACTGTCCCTTTACCACCACTCAAGCACTGATGAAATTTTCAGTCAGTGTGGTAAAAAGACCCAAATGAGGTAAGCAATCAATCTTCCACTAATGCTCTCAGAATGAAAAGGTCTAAATATCAGATATTTTCATAAACAAGCAACTATAATTCTTTTTATGCCAATGTCCATGATCTGATTTTCACCTGGGTGAAAACATGACAGCGTGAAGATGTTTTCACCACTTTTTCCTCTTAATTACAGTAATGAAAAAAAAATAGGATATTGGGTTTTTTTGGTTTGTTTTTTTTTCCCTCCAGAGAACTGGAGGTCTGGTTCATGCATGCAACAAGCCATTCCACATTAAATCCATACAGCATTTTACTTCCCTCAACATTACAAAAGCGATTTGCTCCCAGACAGTATAATTAGTTCACTCTCCACTACTCATATTGAGTTTCCACAGAGAACAGCATGAACTCCACACACACATCAGACTATTAATGCCACGGTCAGAATTCAGAACGGTTTCAGTGTGCTGCAAGTTTTCACTACCACGTCCCTCCCTGACAAACTAAACATTGCCACCTACTGACACTGCCAAAATCTGAACTTGGAATTTTTCACTCCCCACAATGCCTACAGTGCACAACAGAGACAGTAAGGAGGTGGCATTACAGCCCAGATAAAGGAATCATTAATTGATGCCTGAAATCCAAGACTGATGTCACTTCTGTTGAACTGTTGTGGCTACTTTCCCATGTCCAATTCTGGTAAATTTACTCCAACTCGTGCAACCTGTCTGCCAATTGTACATTGCTACAATAAAGACCCAGAATGTACATAACAGAGTTGCATGAACTGCATGAAAGAATTCCCAACAAGTTTTAAGTGCATTGTTTCCCCTGGATTTGATAGCACAGAAGTTGAAAGCTGTAGTCCAAGTAACTCAGAAAGTAACATCTGTTGAATCTGTTGCTGCCCTTCCAACATTTTTGCACATCTTAGGCTTGACAAATAAGAGATCTATGATCATTCTTGCATCATTCAGCTCCAACAGCAACAAAACATAATAAAAACATGTTTTAGGTTTATTTTACATAACTACTTTGTCAAACAAGAAGTACCTAGGCAGTCACAAAAGTCCATCACAGTGTGTGAACAAGGGTTCTATTGCGCAGCTGTTGCACGTATTCTTTTGCTTGGTCAAAAGCAGTCTTTCGTGGCTCTGGAGGAGGAGGAGGCCCTTCCACCAACTTCACAAAATAGTGGCACTTGACGATTTTCATGATGCCAAACATCCCCTTTCCATGGTAACGGATCCGTTTTGTATAGTGGCCTTTGCCTGCCAGTGACTCAGCTGGAGGAAAAGAGGTGGGGAGGAGAGAAGACCAGTCAATCTCAGAATAAACTGCTATAAAACTGCAACTGGAACACTGTCTTACCAGTGGATTATTCCGTGACTACAACTGAAAAGTTAATTCAATTAATGATTCCCTTCTCCAACTTCTGTAACATTCAGCAGATTGGTGCTACAGAGGAAATCCTGGAGTTGAACTAACACTTCAGAAGCACCAAAAAGGTGAATTTAGAAAGTATACAAATGAAGATAATGTCAGTTGTGATGCAAGTACAAAGCCTATCTTTGAGTTTTTGCTGAAAATATTTACTAGGAATTGTATTTCTGCCATCTCTGCCAATTTGAGACAACAAAGTCTTACTAAGGATAAACTTTTCATGGAGTAGTATGACATTCTTCTGTGCTAAAATAAATACGTTACCTATATATAAATTTGATTTGAATTCCACGTTGTGATTTCTTACTGCCATTTCCTGAGCCTCTAAGAGAACCTGTAACAAAAAGACATAGAAGTACTGAGCAGGAATTGAAGCACTGTTATTTCCTATCTGTGGATAAGATGAAGAAATTTGCGAGTTCAAAGTAAATTACAGACAAGTATTTCAGAGAGATCAAAATTGTTAAAAACAGACTTATATCTTACATAATTACATTCTCTGCACACAAACTGGAAAGCTTCACATCAACCTTATTATATTTTTGGGTTAGACGGCTCCCACCAGCAGCTGTCAGTGAATGGACCTTCAATTGGTTTATATAAGATTAGAAACAGACATGGGTAGAAATCAAGTTATGCCATTCAGTATTTTTGAGCTAAAACTTAATACTACTCAATCATAATTATGCCAGAAACCAATGCTTTGGCCAAGCAACCAATTTGATGCCACCAACAACTACTGTGCATGAAAAATGTCTGTGCTTTAACAGAGCTCAAACCCTTCCTCGATGACACTCCTCACCATTTATGACTTTGAAGAAATGAAGCACATTTACAGAGCAGCTATTTATAACAGATTTGGCATTATTTACCATGATCTTAAATCCAAAGATTATTATAGTGAAGGTACCCACATGTTGTTTGTTATCATCAAAAGTTTAGAACATTCAGCACAAGCTACTTCTGTGTATCCTTAAGTCACAACATTACATGACTGCTACAAGAACGTGGTCTGAATGGGTTCTCACAGGCTTACAGAAACATTTTAAACCAACATCATCAAATATTTGGGAAGTTTTCTTGAAACTGGGTTTGTTAGAGAATACAGCTGCATACCTCTTTGATCACCTTTGCACCCTTTTTATCATTAAATTCCAACTGAGCAAGAGCTTGATCAATGGACATTCCTTTAACCTGCAATTTAAGGTGTTAAAGTTAACTTGCGGAATTACAAATATTTCTTTTATTCAGAAGACAGTCTTTAAATTATTTTGCTGTTACAAAGAACAAACCAGAAGACCAAGCTTCCTTAACACACATTTCTTCAGTGCAATATCAGACATACAATTCTTCTCAGCTAAATGCTGAATGATAAATTACTCAACTTTTTTATAACTGTCTTCTCTCAGAGCGAAAAACCAGCAATTACTCTGCTCCAAAGATCCCTGGGTACACATTTGAGAGCATACTAAGATTAAGATAAAGTGGCTAAATCAAACTACAAACAACTGCCTGCTGCACAACTGCATCCTCAGTACTCTATCATAAAGATACTGATTACACTCTGATTGAACTAGACTGTTAAAGCAAATGCAACAATTAAATTTTGTTCTAAAATTCAGAACAAATAAGCACTTTTGCTTACCAGTTTTGCCAGATACCACATCTTATCTTTGCTGTATTTTATTTCCCTCCGACAATGATATATTTCCTGGGTGCATAAGAGAGAGAACAAGTAATTTCACTTGAGAACAAAAGGAAGCATACACACCTGCCCTGCAGTGCACATTCTTTTGAGGAATAGAAGAACAGCTCTTCCCTGCTACTCATACCTTGAACACACCAAGTCAGGCATGCTGCTGCCATTTTAAACTGTAAACTTCAATACTGTATAATAACAGTAAAACTCAATACAATCCTATAAGAATTAAATTAGTTTATAAACAGAGATCCTGAAAACCATATTCTTTTTTTTTTTCCCCCCACATCTTTTCTTTCCTCCCCACCTTCTGAAGCAGGCTAACGACTCACGAACCCAATCTTAAAAGTATTACTGTGCTGTCACACCATCTTGCTGGGACAGCAACTCAACACCAATGAATTTAATCAGCTCTTCAGAAGTGAGGAGGGTTTTGAGTTTGACTGACATGATGAGGTGTCTCCAAAGGGCCATTTAACATTATTACTGCACCAAGAGAGCAAAAGCAGCCAGTAAAATTTAACACTGATACATATTTGAAGGACATAGAATCTTTTACAGACAGCAAAATAACTGATTTAAGTGAGCTGGTTGGTAACTCTATTTTCATGTATATATTGCACTAGTCAGCACTGTATTTCTAATTCTAGGCCACAATATTGATAGAGGTGATAAATGCTAATGGCTCACAAAAGCACGTCAGGAAAAAATGATTCTTGTGAGATGCAAATAATTTATTTTGCTGAGCAGCACCTCTAACAGAGGACACAAGACATCACTTCCCAAGTACAATTAAAAAAAAAATGAAGATACAAGACATCAGTTTTCAAGAATGAGGAAATACTGAAAAATTCACCTAAAATTCTCTCAGGTTAAGGTGTAGAGAAACCACCATTGATTACTCCCTTCAGTGACCAAAGACAACCAATTAAGTTTCCACGAATGACTCAAATTAAAAGACTTGCTTCTATTCACACTTATCTGCAATTCCCAGCTATGAAATGATCAAGAAGCGGGGACAGGGAGAAGCATGCATGATCTTGCTATTAGTTTTTGATGACAGCATTTGTTATGACCACGTTTTAAAAACAATCATGTTACTTAAACTGACCTCTGCCAAAGTTGTCTTGAATGGCTATCAGGCCTTCATTGGTTTTAGCCTCTTTGCTTCTATTTGTGGTTTAGTAAACACAAGTTATTGTGCAATGGACTGAAGAACAATTCCACTGCACAGTGTTTACAAAATGATTTCTTAAGGAGATGAGACTTCTGCCATCACATTCTTTACCTGACTCCCATGTCTGCCCCCACACAACTCTACAATCCCTCACACATGTCAAACAAATGAAGCAACCATTATGAGATAAGACAACCTATGAACAGCCCCGTTAAGAGGGGGGCCACAGCAAGAGGCAACAGAATATCACATCTAAAAGAATCCTATAAAGCAGAAAACTCAAAAAATTAAAAAAGCATGCACTCTGTTTAAACAGGTACCATTAGTTCCACTGCTAAGGGAAAGTCACATTTATAGTTATAGCAGCTGTCTTCTTTCCTAGATACCTTCTGCTGGATGAACAGCACGAGCATAGAACAACATTACTGGTGACTTTCATCTCTTCATTGTTCAGAGAATTCTACAAGCAGAGGATGGCATCTTTGCAGTTTGCAATACACTGAGTAGATGATCAGCTGCACAGCAGTTTCAAGTTCCAATTAAGTTAGAAATGGAAAAGAATCAAAGCAATGTGAACTCCTACAATTTCAATATGCGAAACAGAATAAAACCTTAAACAATCAACAAAAAGCAACCAGACTCGTGCCTTGTGGAGTCCTCCAGAGACAATCTGTTTCGAAATTGCTAAACACAAACGTGTAAAGAAAGGTGCAGGTGTGTGCTTACAGCTGGTCTGCGAGGTTCCCCGGGCAGCTGAGGAGGGTAAACAATCCTGTTCTTTTTCTCCCACTTCCCAAGTTTCTGCAGGGATGCACTTGTGTGGATGCATGACAGCGGGAAAGCGCTACCAGCTGCAAACCACCTGCAAGACAACACCACAGTCACTGCTGTTGAACATAAAAGTTCTTTGCCACTGTCCAGACTATCTGAAACAGCTGTGAACTTGCTTGCCTTCATAAAGAGAACTGACATATTTGACTACTTTCAAAGTAACGCTATGAAAGTCCTTTACAGTTTACATTGAAGGGCTTTTTAATTTAATAAAAAGCTTAAGGCTTCCTAAGGCATGCCAAGTAGCTTAAGTTACATTCGTATAGCATCAGATTCCACACGTCCCCTGATCATCACAGACACCATTACCTCTTTTTGCTTGGATGTGGTTCATTACTTGCATAAGGAATTCATGTCTTGTAATTTTCCCAAGACTAACTAATACTCGTCTAACTTTTAACAGCAAATCTTCTAACAGCAATAATTTGTAGCTTTCTAAGGAACTGAGAGTGAAGAAAAAGAAAGCATCAAAAGCATGTAAGCATTTATCATGTCTGAAATTTGAAAGGGAAAATAATCTCCACTTCCAAAGTGCAAGGAAACCAATGCAAGATAGATGACAGCAAATATAAAACTTTCCACAGCTTCCAGCCAGTTTGCTCACTCAGTCACAAAGACTGAGCTGCATGTTGCCCCCTGCTGACCAGGCAGAGCACTACGAGGCAGCTGCTCACAAAGGCAAGAAATCGACGAGTTCAAAACGAAACACTTGGAGCTTTAACGAGGCTCTAACCGCTCTGCGTGGGTTGCCAAGTTATGCAAAACATTTTAAAATGTCTGGCAAACAAAACGCACTGAACAGCTTCACGAAAGCATTGCACACCTTAGAAAGTGTTCACAATATCAGTACGGGGCAGGATGATAAATAAAAGTTTTATGCACATTTTTTCCCCAGTTATTTACCAAAACAACAGTTTACCATCATTACATAATATCAACCAATACAGACAATATTCGACCACCACACAAGTATCACTTTGCAGTTTCACAGCCTAACAGTGAACTAAGCATTACTCTCCAGACATCAGCACAACACGAGCCCTGACAGACTGAGGAATCTTACGTTCTGTATCTTAAGGCAATCCAGAGAACAACTCTATTTACCATAGTTCCAAGAGAGGAAAAAGGACACAAACACATTGCAAGGAAAAGAAAGTGACAAGCAAGAGAAGTTTTTATACTTTACAACCAAGAGGCTCATTTAAAGAAGTTACATACTGTGCAACTTTACAGGAAGAAGCATTCACAAGCAAAAGGTGGGAGACACACAGAATTGAAAAACTGATCAGGGAAAGCAATTCAGCTGAGCTGAAGGGCAGTAACACAAGAACATTTCATTTTCTTCAGTGACCACCTCTGTGATTGACCTCCACAGGCTCCGGCAGAGACCAAAGCTCTGCACTTTGAGCACCACACCCTCAGCTTTTCTTCTGGAACTGGGGATGCAGTGGGCAGCGATCAACACTCCCCAGCACTCCTATGCTGCTCCTCCAGAACAAAGGAGAGGCCAGGCAGGAGGGCAGTGACTGGGGAGAGCACAGACAGGTGCAGGAGATGCGCTCTGAACAACGCAACCAGAGAAAAAGCTGCGTGATGGATACACGGGGCCAAACGAGAGCCTCTCACTGTGCCACAGAGCGCGCAGGAAGATGGGCACAGGGGAGCGGCCCAATGCATACAGCACAACCCGGCCTGCTGCAGGACGGCGGAGCCCCGCACTCACCTCTCCGGCCGCACCCAGCCGAGGAGCCCCCGCACCCAGGCGCTACCTGCAACGAAGAAACGAGGTGAGCCCGGAAAGGAGCGAGCGATATCCGCGGAGCACCGCGCCCATCCCCTCACGCTCACCCGAACCTCCCGCACAGCGCGCCGCCATCTTCCCCGCTTCGCTTTACGGCGGCCGCTCCCTGCGCATGCGTAGCGCTGCGGGCGGGAGGGCGGTTTTGCGACAGTTTGCGACGCTTTGCTCGGCGGGAGCTCCCGAGGTGAGCGTGTGGCGGCGGCGCGGCGCGGGACCATGGCGGCGGCCATGCGGGTGCTGCCCGCCTCGCCCAACTGGTACTGCAGCCGCTGCAGCGACACCAGCGGAGACGGGCGGCTCTTCGGCTTCGCCGCCAGGCACCGCATTAGCGTGCTGGATGTCAGCACCGCTACGCCGACGTTTCACGGTACGGCCGCGATCCCTTCTCCCCCTGCGCGCCCTGTTTATAGGAGCGGCCGAGATCCGGTCGGGTGCGGGGAAACCGCGTTCTCACAGCGCTTCTCTCGGTACAGGGGAGCTGATCGGGCACACGGAGCGCGTCGCCGCCTTCGCCTTCTGCCCGCACCGCGAGCACGGCTCTATGTGCGCCAGCGGCTCGGACGACGGCAGCGTGCGGCTGTGGGACGCGGCGGGGCTGGCGCTGCGGGCAGAGTACGGCCTGCACCAGGTGGGAGCCGGGCCGCGGGATTTGGTTCGGGGCGATGTGCCGCGGGCGGATCTTGAGCTGCCGGGCTGCTCGTTCCCTTAGTTTTAGGTGTACGCTGCCGGTACAGCATTGTAACGGGCTGTTGGTCGCTGTCGGCAGCTCCTTGCTGCCGCACCCAGCTCGCTTTGCCGTCTCAGGGCTTGTGGGCAGTTACTGCTGTTCGGGAGACTGGCAGATAAGTTGCAGCCCAAACAGTTTAGGACAGGGAGTGCTTGCAGGTTAGTTTCTGCTTGCTATCCTGGGCTGTACAGTTACAGAATGGTTGAGTTGGAAGAGAACTCAAAACCCAAACCGCTGCCCTGGGCAGGAACACCTTCCTCCAGATCAGCCATCATCCAGGGTCTTGAGCACCTTCGGCAATGGGGAACCCCCAGCTCCTAGGCAGCAGCAGCACCTCATCTCCCTCTGAGGATGATCTCTAGGCAGCCAATGAAGGCAGGCTGTTAGAGCAATGTTCTGTTTTCTGTCCCAGAAGAGCCTCCTGCTAAATGCACTTCACTTTATATTCATAGGATCACAAGGTTGGAAAGGACTTACAAGATCACTCTCTGAGAGAAAAAGTTTTCCTTATGTCTAATCTAAACCTCCTTTGGTACAACTTGTGGCCATTTCCTCAGGTCCTGTTTGTTGCCTGGGAGAAGAGGCGAAACCCCTCCTCGCCACAGCTTGCCTTCAGGAAGTTGTAGATTGCAGTGAGGTCTCCCCTGAGCCTCCTCCAGACTAAACAATCCCAGCTCCCTCAGCCATTCCTCATAAGACTTGTGCTCCAGACCCCTCACCAGTTTTGTTGTGCTTTAGTTCTTTAAAAGAACCTACAAAATGAATTTAGTTGGCCAAGCATGCTCAATGGCTTTACATGTATTCAATTGTCTTTCTTCAGAATGCAATCACAGCGTTACACTGGTCACCCCTTGTGAAAGATCTGATTGTATCCGGCGATGAAAAAGGGGTGATTGTTTGTTACTGGCATAGCAGAAGTGACAGCCAGCAATTCTTCCCAGAGCCTCGGACTATTTTTTGCCTTTCTTGTTCTCCTCATCATGAAAACCTGGTGGCTATCGGGTAAGTGTTACGTTTTGCTTTCCGTTCTTCATCTGAAAGTGTCTTGTTTGGATTTTTTGTTGCACAGTTGTGAGGTTACTTTTAAGAAATTTCAGTGGCTATTTTTTCATAGTATTCCAAATTGTATACAGCAATTTAGAAATAATATTCTGGTAGTTGTGCAAGGTGTACAATTCTATAACCATTTATAGAAATGAATTTGGTTTAAACTCTGAAGTTACTTAAGACATTACTTAAGTTATTTTTAAATTAGATTTCATTAATGTTCATCACATTACAGGTTACCTCATCTAAAAAGTCTCATAGATTTATTAGCTTTTTGTTAACAGTTGCCATTCCAGTCCTTTGGACATCCAAGACTGTATTGAATGAAGCAAGAATGTGAAAGCCTTTCAGATGGGAGAGATGGAGAGAATGAAAGTTATTTGTAGAAAAAGGAAAAGTTTTTCTCTTATAAAAGCCACTGTTACTTTTTAAGACTCTGAAAACTGTATTGCAAATAAATTGGTGTTATTCTTGGAGCCAAATATACTTCTGGTGTCACTTCTCAAACAAAAGGCAGCTGTGTTTATGCTAGTGCTACACTTGAGCTCCAGCTGAGTGGTCTCATTGCCACCTGTGATTGGGCTTCTCTTATTGATCCTGGGTAATGGCCTGAAAATCGGATTAGATGTTCTTCCACAAGGGTTTAACAATCTATCATTAACTGGAATCTCTGTTTTTAGCTACAAGGATGGCATGGTGGTTATAATTGATATCAGCAGGAAAAGAGAAGTTCTTCATCGGCTCAGAGGTCACGACGATGAAATTCATTGCCTGGCCTGGTGTCCTGTACCTGGTGAAGGAAGGTTGCCTGCTTGGCAAGATGAGCTCCAAGGTATGTACAAGTGATACATAGTTTGTGAAGTGATTTTTGTAGCTCAGGAAAATTCCCTTTGGAGAACTGAATTCCTTATCCCTGTGAAGTCAGCAAGTAGCTCATCGGATGGAACTGATGAGTTCAGTTAAAATGTTCTGATCCAGAGCAATAGGTTTTCAGCTTATGTTCAGAGCTTTGAATTCTAATGGTGTTTCCTTCAATGGTGTTTCCTTCAGAAGAAGGTGACGTTCCAAATGGGGAGCTTAAACAAGATACAGCCATGAAGAAAAGTTGTTACTTGGCTTCAGGAAGCAAAGATCAGACGATACGAATATGGAGCTGTACTAGAGGCAGAAGTAAGTAAGATTCTTAATTTAAGTGACAACAGGATGGGTGAAGTGCTCCTATCTGACTGTAGGTTTCATTTGCTAACCCAATAGTTTAAAGAGTGGAGAGCCTGCTTAAAGCTTCAGATTCACGGGTCTTTTTTTTGAGAATTCAGATGTACGAAGTCGAGATGATCCCTTTCTTTTCCAAAGGTGTAATGACTCTGAAGTTGCCACCCACAAAGAGGAGAGGTGGAGCTGTTGATCCTGCTGTTAAAGAGCGAATTTGGCTCACTGTTCACTGGCCTTGTGGTCGCCCCACAGAAATTGTATCCAGCTCTTTTGGGTAAGTAGGAGACAAAGCACGTTAAGTGCAGACAGCAATTGTAAATTAATTCATTGATATTTCAAGAACAGCTGGCAGGAAACACTGACCCCCATCTTCCTTCCTTCTTGGTATAGTGAGGTAGTGGATAGATGTGCATTAGCACTGATAGTCTGTATTATTTTTTGAAGTGAAGGATGAAATACACATACTTTAAATTTTGCAGAGGAGAACTGCTACACTGGGATTTGACCCAACCTGGAAAACGCAAGTGGACGCTTCTGGGATCTTCAGAAGGACAAAATCACTCCCGTATTGTTTTCAATCTGTGTTCCCTGAAGCATCAAGACAAAGAGCTGCTTCTTTCCATTTCAATGGACAGAGATGTAAGAACCATTTTAAAAATTAACATCAAAATAGCGGCGGCAGTTCAGCCTGACTGAGTGAAACTAACGCTTTGATGACCACTTATTTTCTCCTAAAGCAGGCTTATCCCTGGCTTTTATAACATCATGGCTCGACATTTCTACTGAGCACAAGTTGTGCATTTCTTTGTTAGCTTGTAAGCTCAAGCTTTTACCGTAGTGGACAGAACGGTTATGCCGTATGGACTTGAAAATTAAATGTTCAACAGCTGGAACTCACGATTTCTGCCTTTTTTTTTTGTGGGGGGCGGCCCTGCGGGGGGGGGCAAAGCGGCTAAGGAGGGAAGGGTTGTTGTTTGATTCGTTTTTTTTGTGGGTTTTGTTGGGTTTTTTTGCCTTTTACCAGCAGAGAGCCTATTTTGAATTCACAAGAGGACTACATAATTCTACATAATTAAACCGTAGTCCTTTTGTCTTTTCCATCACAGTCCTGCAGTTATTACTGCCCTGTCTTTGACGTGTGCTGCTCTGAGTGGAGATTGTGTACTTTGAGTCTTCCTCTCACCTGTGCTTTGTTTTTTCCCCTATCATACCACTCGCTTTAAATTTATCATTCGTTGTTCCTTAAATATTTTTTAGGTAAAGTGCTGGGACCTATCAACTCTGGATTGTAGCTGGACAATGCCTTCCCTTGGGGGATTCGTCTATAGTCTCGCTTTCTCCCCTGTGGACCCAGGCTGTCTTGCTGTTGGTGTTGGAGACAGCATGATCCGTGTATGGAACACTTTGTCTATGAGCAACATCTATGATGTTAAAACCTACTGGCAAAGCATCAAATCCAAGGTTACAGCAGTAAGTGTGCTTTTGATTCCCTTTTTTTTCTCGTCTCTTTTCTTCCTCCATTTTTCGCTTGGAGGAATGTTTTTCTCTCACTCTGAAGGTTTTTCCCCAACAAAATACCATCATGCCAAGTTGTCACTTCAGCTCTCAACTCGCATGATAAAATTTTAGAATTGAACAACGTTTCAGATGGTTTTTAGATCACTGGGCATTTACATTGCACAGACTGAAAATGAGCTGAATTTCAGGTGGTTACTGTCTCACTTTGTTGGTTTTGTACACCGCTGTGATTATTCCTTTTGTCATCCACGGTTTCCTTTGCTCTGCTAGGAAGTTTAATGTGCAAAAACTGGCACGGGTGTCTTCAGTTTAGGTTTTACCAGCAGTTGGCTAAAGCTAACGTCTAGTAGAAGGTGGAAGCATTAGAACACATTAGTTGGTCATGCCAAAAGCTTTCTCACAGTTCTAAAATATTGTCTGTTTCTGTGTTGTAATGTAGATGTCAGGTAGTATTTCAGTGATTTTAGTTCCTTTCATCTTGTCCCAATAACTGGCAAGGGAAAAGTCTTTGATTCACATCACAAAGTGTTTAAATTGAGTTGCTGTTGTTGGCAGGGTGGAGATAAGGGACAGTGCTTGCTCTTTGGTTTCAATGC